AGGACTAGGAGGAGGAGGAGGAGGAGGAGTAGGAGGAGAGGGAGGGGAAGGAGGAGTAGGGTAGGAGGAGGGAGGCGGCGGACAGAGGCGTCGAGACAACAATAGGGTGTCAGGAAAGCAAAGTAAAAATGAAATAATGAATCAAGCAAAAACGAAAAAAAAACATCAAAGCGATTGGGCACGTCTGTGTTCGGTTATTTGTTTTTATCAATTGATTAATTCATTATTTGATTGATTGATTGGTACATCGATTGATTGGTGTATCGATTGATTGGTATATCGATTGATTGGTTGTTCGATCGGATCTCGATGGCCATATGTATGGTGTGGCTAGAATCAAGAATCGGCCTTTTTTTTTCCAGAGAGAATCGACATAACACACTGATTCGCACTTTGTTCTCTCACACGATGCATTGTCCCCTTGTATGGCGTCACGGAAGGCGGGACGTCAACGAAGACGAAGAATCGACGAAGGCTACTGCATAACGCCACCCGGTTTTGTAACTGCATCGCCCAGCAGCAAGCATAGTGACATATCCGTTTCAGCACACCACAAGAACACCCCATCAGGGCCGAGTTCGGTCTCGCGTACGSGGAGATGGCATCGAAAGGTATGGTGCGAAACCCGCCGTTTTGTTTCCTGGTGTTTCGTTTCCCATGTGTTTGTTTCTCACTGCGAAGATCCGCCGTTTTGGAGGCGGTGATGAGGCTGTGCGAAGCTCAAAGGCCCTCCGACGGTCCAGTGTCCTCGAGGCGCCAGACCATCTGATGGTCCTGCGTTCTCAAGGCGCCATACCATGTGATTGTCCGGCGTCCTCAAGGCGCCAGACCATCCGATGGTCCGGCGTCCTCGAGGTGCCAGACCTTATGATGGTCCGGCGTCGTCAAGGCGCCAGACCATCGCATGGTCCGGCGTCCTCGAGGCGCCAGACCTTGTGATGGTCCGGCGTCGTCAAGGCACCAGACCATCGCATGGTCCGGCGTCCTCGAGGCGCCAGGCCATCAGATGGTCCGACGTCCTCAAGGCGCCATACCACCACATGGTCCGGCATCCTCGAGGCACCGCACCATCACATGGTCCGGCGTCCTCGAGGCGCCATACCATCAGATGGTCCGGCGTCCTCGAGGCGCCAGACCATCAAATGGTCCGGCATCCTCGAGGCGCCAGACCATGTGATGGTCCGGCGTCCTCAAGGCCCCAGACCATCGCATGGTCCGGCCTCATGGAGGCGCCTGACAATCAGATGGTCCGGCGTCCTCAAGGCGCCAGGCCATCACATGGTCCGACGTCCTCGAGGCGCTCTCATAGACCATACATGGTCCGACGTTCTCAAGGCGCTAGACCATCACATGGTCCGGTGTCCTCGAGGCGCCAGACCATGACATAGTCCGGCGTCCTCGAGGCACCAAACCATCAGGTGATGGTCCGGCGTCGTCCAGGCGCCAGACCATCACATAGTCCAGCGTCCTCGAGGCGCCAGACCATCTGATGGCCCGACGTCCTGAAGGCGCTTGATCATCCGATGGTCCGGCGTCGTCAAGGCGCCAGACCATCCGATGCTCCCGTCGTGAGAGATATTGCAGGCGGAGGTTACGCAGGGCCTTCGATAGTCTGGCGCCTTCGAGGCGCCAGACCTTCAGGTGCTCCGGCGTCGTCAAGGCGCCAGACCATCGGATGGTCCGGCGTCGTTGAGGCTGCTGTCGCTGTTGTTCTCGCTGTTGTTGTCACATCTGAGTAAGGGTTTGATTGCATGGTACGACTGTTGTGCCCCAGTTTTCCCTCCGATGGTCCGGCGTCGTCAAGGCGCCAGACCATCGGATGGTCCGGCGTCGGTCACAGCAGCTGCTGATGCTGCTCATCCCATTGTTGCTGCARCAGCTGCGGTCGGAGTTGCTGTGGTCACAGCAGCTGCTGGTGCTCATCCCACTGTTGTTGATGCTGCTCATCCTAATGAGGCGTCGGCCACAGCAGCTGCTGATGCTGCTCATCCCATTGTTGCTGCAGCTGCTGCAGCTGCTGCAGTTGGAGTTGATGCGTTTGCAGCAGCTGCTGGTGCTCCTGCTGGGTCCCGCTGCTGGTGTGGCTACTGTGCACCAGTCTTCCTATCGAGGCGGTCGGAGTTGCTGCGGTTGCAATTGCTGGTGGCACAGCTGCTGTGCCCCAGTCTTCCCTCCGATGGTCCGGCGTCGTCAAGGCGCCAGACCATCGGATAGACCGGCGTCGGTCACAGCAACTGCTGATGCTGCTCATCCCACTGTTGCTGAAGCTGTTGCGGTCGGAGTTGCTGTGGTCGCAACAACTCCTAGTGCTCATCCCACTGTTGTTGATGTTGCTCATCCTAACGAGGCGTCGGCCACAGCAGCTACTGATGCTGCTCATCCCATTGTTGTCGTAGCTGCTGCGGTTGGAGTTGATGCGTTTGCAGCAGCTGCTGGTGCTCCTGTTGTGTCCCGCTGCTCGTGCGGTTACTATGACCCAGTCTTCCTATCGAGGTGGTCGGAGTTGCTGCGGTTGCAGTTGCTGGTGGCAGAGCTGGTGTGCCCCAATCTTCCCTCCGATGGTCCGGCGTCGTCAAGGCGCCAGACCATCGGATGGTCCGACCTCAGTCACAACAGCTGCTGATGCTGCTCATCCCACTGTTGCTGCAGCTGCTGCGGTCGGAGTTGCTGTGGTCGCAGCAGCTCCTGGTGCGCATCCCACTGTTGCTGATGCTGCTCATCCTAATGAGGCGTCGGCCACAGCAGCTGCTGATGCTGCACATCCCATTGTTGCTGCAGCTGTTGCAGCTTTTGCAACAGCTGCTGGTGTTCCTGCTGGGTCCCGTTGTTGGTGCGGCTACTGTGCCCTAGTCTTTTTATCGAGGCGGTCGGAGTTGCTGCGGTTGCAGTTGCTGGTGCTACTGCTGCTCATCCTACTGTTGTTGATGCTGCTCATCCCACTGTTGCTGCAGCTGCTGGTGCTCATCCCACTGTTGCTGATGTTGTTCATCCTATCGAGGCGTCGGTCACAGCAACTGCTGATGCTGCTCATCCCACTGTTGCTGCAGCTGCTGCGGTTGGAGTTGATGCGTTTGCAGCAACTGTTGCTGCTCATCCCACTGTTGCCGATGCTGCTCGTCCTATCGAGGCATCGGTCACAGCAGCTGCTGATGCTGCTCATCCCACTGTTGCTGCAGCTGCTGAGGTTGGAGTTGATACGGCTGCAGCGGCTGTTGGTGCTCCTGCTGGGTCCCGCAGTTGGTGTGCCTTCTGTACCCCAGTCTTCCCTCCGATGGTCCGGCGTCGTCAAGGCGCCTGGCCATTGGATGGTCTGGCGTCGTTGAGGCGCCAGACCATCGACGGTGCCAGACCATCGACGCATCATGTCGTCGTAGCAGTTGATGCTGATCACCCCACTGTTTCTGCAGCTGCTGCGGTTGGACTTGATGCGGTTGCAGCAGCTGCTGGTAATCCTGCTGGGTCCCACTGCTGGTGCAGCTGCTGTGCCCCGGTCTTCCGTCCAATGGTCCGGCGTCGTCAAGGCGCCAGACCATCGGATGGTTTGACGTCGTTGAGGCGTCCGACCATCGACGCATCATGTCGTCGCAGCTGCTGATGCTGATCACCCCACCGCAGTGAGAAAATGGCAGGCCAAAATTAATAAAATTTGGGCCCCAGGCCCAAATTCCACTTAGCCGCACTGCCGTAGTTCCGCAGCGTCTCTGGGTCTGTCCCGTGGGACCAGCACCAGCCAGAGGGGAGGGGAGCAGAGTGCTCCCTGCCTTGGCTATGGCTGCCCAGCTCCTCCTTGCGCTCCTCTGCAGGTCTCCAGCTTCCTCCTCACATTGCCTCAGGCAGCAGCTCCAGCAGCCAGCAACACTCAAGTGTGCTCGTCACACAGTGGCAGCATGAGTGCATTGTATGGCAGCTGCCTATTTTATATTGGCTGAGGAGGGCTGGACGTCACTCCAGCCCCCAGGCAAAATCGCGGGCTCGCTGTGAGCCCTTGATCTGCCAAGATCCGGGGTTGACTGTGGCCGCACCACAGCCACAGCCTTAGTATAGGGCAGTTTCTTTAACTGCCCTATTTTATTTGTATTTTTCTTTTTCCCAGCTATCTCGAAATCTGGCGAGATAGCTGGGCTCCTGCCATTTTCAAATCTGCTTTTCTTTTATTTTTCTGATAAAGGGTTGAAAAGATACTACCCTTTTCAGTTTGATGTATCCGGACTCTTTTTTCAAGGCAGATACATCGGGGAAAAGGTTGTACCTAGCCTTTTCCTTAGTGACCCTTTAATTTCCAGGCTCCCTGCAAAAACGGGAGTCTGACAGTTACCTCTGGCAGCTGGCAGCTTCTGCCAGAGGTAGCACCACGTGAGGACAAGTGTTCTCACACAAAATAAAGAAAAGAAAAGAAAAAAATAATAACTTCCTAATTTTTACTGCATCTGGCTTTTACCTTGGCCAGATGCATGCAACAGCCCCCTTCCTTTTTCTCTGTTGTCCTCCCCCTCCCAACTCCTACGCCCCTCTCTCTCTCTCTCTCTCTCTCTCTCTCTCTCTCTCTCTCTCTCTCTCTCTCTCTCTCTCTCTTCCATGCTTGTACGGTGGGCCGCGAGATTCAACATTTCGCGGTCACAGTAGTTTGGTCAAAAACGGAGTGGGAGCCTTTGTGCTCCCAGACAGTCCAAAGGACTGTTCTTCGTTTTTCCCCCTACGAGGCAGTTGCCTCGTTTCTGTTTCGTTTCTCCCTTTTTTTTTTTTTTTTTT